TCTTTTTTTTTGAGACCAGAAGTTTCATAAACAAAATGATCGAAAAAACTTTAGATTTCGATAGATCAATAGTTTGAGTCAAAACTTATAGGTCGCAGAAATATTCGAAGACTTTGCCCAAAAATTGTAAAAATTTGGTTTTCTAAGTAACTTTTTATGCTCTTTCAAACTAGCAAACGCATTTCAAAATTTAAAATTTTTCGGCAACTCGTTTGTGTGGTGGTTTTATGGACGCTCTCTTAAGTAGTATCTTCATCAATTTTGCTTTGCAATAGATACTTCAATGGAATTGTCCTTGTATCTCAAATATTTTTTTTTGTTTTTTCAAATATATGTCATTCTTCAGATAGTTCAGTAATTATTTGACAAAGATTATTATTTTTAATCTATTCGATAGACATTTTTCCTTTTGTATGTGAATAATTATTCAAAGTCGAATAAATTCTACTACTTTATCGAGCTAGTTGTATAAGAATATGACATTTCTAGTAGATTAAGGATGAAATTATTTGTATGTAATTTTCATTAGCTACTACGACAACTACCACTACGCGCTGCTTTGATACATGTTACCGACAGGATTGTGAAAGAGGTTACACATGTTTGATAAGTTGTCCTAATACAACTTGTTTAGCGACAATAGAAACAACAACTGTTACGTTATCAACATCCAACTGCAAAGACCTTGAAGCTGAACTAACACGAGTAAAAGTAGGCTTAGGTGTGGGTTTAGGTAGTGGCATGGCGGCAACCACTGGATTGGCAGTTGGTACTTATATTTATTTTTCCAGACAGTAAGAAAATTGTGTCTATAGTAACAGCTTCAATTTCGAATTGTCTTTTTCTTATAGGCTGGCACAGTTTACATTGCCACCATCACTAGGACCGGAACATTTTACTCGATTTTAACATTATATTATTCAGCTCAAAAGATACGAACTTTTTTATTACAATTAGAATCATATGACAATTATATAATGAAATATTTTTATAGTGTGATTTTATTTTATTCAAGAATATTCGATTAATAAAATATTCATATTTTTCATTTCACTTAGAGTAGGTCATCTAAGTAACGACTAAAAAACACAGTATCCTATACTATTTGATTAATTGCACAGTCGTCTAATATTCAAATTGAAAATATTTCTATATTAAAGTAGTTCTTAAAAAAGTACAGTATCAAATGGTGATAACAAGTTTTCTCAAGAGAATACTAGTCGAGAAGTCAGCAGTCTATGGTAGATACGTCATTAGATCGTTCTTAGAAGAGAAATCTTTTCTCTAAGAACAGCTTACTTACAAGAGTAGTTTTGATCACATTGAATGCTAGAAAAATTGGTTCCAACTTTCATGATTTTAGAAACTCTGATTATTTTCTCTAATCTCGTTTATCTCCTTTCTTTCTCAAAAAAAAAGATACTTTTGAATTCGTAAACGACCGTATACGGAGAAATACGGTGATATACGGAGAAAAATACGATCGTAAACTGAGATCGTATACGGAGTTCGTATACAATCTCCGTTTTGCTCCGTATTTCTACGTATATCGTCGTATTGCTCCGTATACGGTGACGGTGATATACGATCGTAATACGTGACCATGTAATACGGCAAAATGCGGTCGTATACGGAGAAAAACAGACCGTACACGACCGTTTACGATCGTTTACAGACTCCGTAAACCTCGACCTGGGTTGATTAAAAAAAGGAGGAAGCTTAAGGTAAATTTTAATTTAAAAAAATAAATGATTCAATTTCCAGAAAGGAACTTATTGGTAATATTGATAACACAGATTTTTGAAAAATTTTTCTTTTTTTTCTGACATGAAAGACAAAGTTTTATAAAGATTTGTAAAAGATGTCGATTATACCAGGTATACGCCAATCCACTTTCCTCAGAGATTCCCCAGAAAATTTTCAGAGGCAGCGGACTACAGTTGAATTTGAACGCGTTTCCGTGATTAACCTGAATAAAAGAAAATAGAATTTAAAAATGAATGTTCTGCTGTTTTATTTAATGTTTACTTAAACAAATAGGTAAATTCTTTTTTTCTCTATTGACAGTAAAAATAAGAATTAATAAAAACAAAAATTTCTCTCTGTCGGGCCTGACTAGAATGAATCTTACGTAAGTTTAATTTTGTTTGCGACAAATACTTTCGACAACTTCAGTGGAGGTAAGCTTAGCACAATAGCGGTTTTGACTGCTGAGTCTAATTTTTATTACGTGAAGCTTCTTCAAAAAACAATTTCCAAACATCTTTTATTTTTATTTAACAATCTGAGTAGAATTATTTATATTTGGCATATATTTCACGTTAGTAGTTTTATAATTAAATCAGTCTATTATCAAATGTCATGTTTATTAAATAAGCTCTTTTAAATAGTATCTGAAACTCCAAGAAAAACTTTTTCTTTCAGTTAGCCACATGCAGAAGTTTGTTTTCTTGCATAAAAACATGCTATTTTTTTAGTTTTAAAAATGAATATAAAATGCTTAGTATAACAAACACAAGTATCTTAATATTATCTTGTTATAAATGGAAAAAATGACGCTTATACAAGAATAACGTTGAATATTTAATATAGATGTTCGAAGAAAGTGAATCGTAAGTACCCATTTTCAAATCTTCTCCTCTGTGTATATTCAATAAGTTTCGACGACTCAAGAATGAGACATCTGTCGGACCAAACCCTTTCTATTTGATAAAATTTCGATTTCATCGAAAATAATTGTTCGAATAGTCAGAAATTGCGTGTCGAAATGATTCAATATCGAGTTCTCAATCTATCAGAAAGTGGCAAACTAAGGGTGGGTGTGATATAAAATATCGATGCAGCGCCATACCTATCGAAACGTTGAACGCCTGATAAAAATTAATTTTGTTCAACTGAGAGCTTTCTTGATAATAAGTATATGAACAAAAAGCACTAACAACTGCGATTTATAAATCATCAAGAATCGATTCTGAAAGATCAAAATAATTTCAAATTAGTCTTTGAAATCTTATTGTTAGTTGTTCTTTCTTTCGATGAATGTGCAAAAGTATTGGATGTTTGTGTTATCAGTAAATAGTATATGACCTTCTCTTCGATTACATAACTTTTGAATTTCACTGAATTACTAATAAATTGAATCAAGAAAAAAAACTTCTAAATTACTTTGCTATGACCGTTGAAAGTAGAATATCAAACTGTCGTATAATGACCTCTTCCGTACGATCGATTCAATATCAAACATAAAAAACCAACCAAATGAATACATATTCACACCTGAAGTGATTTGACGATCTTCTTGAAAACAAAAATATTTTATTTTTCAATATTTCTTTTTTATTTGGTATATAACAATCCAATTACATTTTAATGTTGTTTGCTACGAACAATAATTAAAAAAGTAATTTTTCTTTCTTTTTCACTAATCTCCTATGGAAACATTTCACACCTGTCTATTGAAAAGAATAGATTTGATTATTGATTTCGGTTTACACGTTTGATCTTGTCTATGATTGTTTAAGCTTATATATATATAGAATATTATAATATACTAAGGTTCTACGATGCCGTAAATGCAAAACTAAAGTTGGATTTTTTTTGTATGTTTACATAGAGCGTGATGACTTGACCAAATATATGTGTTTTAATTTTATGATATGAGTTTTTAGAGAGAAAATTATATTTTTTTTGCAATGACCTACTTTTTCTGAGAAAGAGTTCAATCCTCGATCACCGAAAAATCATCATCTTTTTTGTTTTCTACAAATTGTAAAACTCTCTGTTTCAGATTCAACATGAAAAACGGAATCTAAGAAAGTCATTCATAAATGATTTTCTTAGGTTCAGTTTTTCATGTTGAATCTGAAATAAACAGTTTTGAAATTTGAATGAATCAAAAACAAATTGACAATTTGTCGGTAATCGAAAACTAACCTCTTTCTCAAAAAAAGTAAGTCATTGAAAAAAATTAAATTGTCTCTCTAAAAACTCATCCTATAAAATTAAAACGTATATCAGTTTAATCAATTCATCACGCTCTATCTGACCATAGAAAAAAAATTCTGCTTTAGTTTCGCATTTCACGCACTTTACTTTATTAACGTAATTTATCAAGAATTAATATTCTTTTTAAGAAAGTACTACTAATCAAAATGCATGAAGGTTTATGATTATTTTATGAAATAATCATAAAACAAATCTCATATTTTCTCTTCTTGTTATATTATATTGCAGATAATGACTGATTCACCATTTCCATATTTTACTCTTGGTACTATTGTACATGGCTTTGGTCGTGGCAGCAAAGAGCTGGGTTGTCCAACAGGTATTTAATTTTAGGCAAGTTCTCTTTCTTAAAAGACAAAAAATACTAATTAGCTTTTCTTTTTCTATAAATTTTTAGCAAATTTTGATGAAGATGCAGTGCAAAAATTACCACCATCAATACATCAAGGTGTTTATTATGGATGGGCAAAATTATTAACACAGAATGATAATGAAGTTTATAAAACGGTGGCTAGTGTTGGAACAAATCCATTTTATAATGGTGAAAGAAAAACAATGGTATGTGAAAATTAATTATTATGATTGTCTGGATTAAATATCTATTTAGGAAGCGCATATAATACATTCATTTCCAGCAGATTTTTATGGTGAAACAGTAAAAATTTTACTTCTAGGTGAAATACGAAAGATGACGACATTTAAAGATACGAGTATGTCAAACAAAATTTTCATATAATTAATTAGATCAATTTTTCATTAAATTCGCATATAGAATATTTTTAAAAGATGAAATAATATTATCGTGTATGTTATAGAATTCATAGAGCTTCAAATAATTGCTTTAGACTATTCATAAGTATTAGATGGTATCGAAAATAAACTGTGAGTTGCAAATTTTCAGGGTCTATTGTTTAGTAAGCTTCTCGTATAATTAGTGATATACCAGTTCATTGTAAAATAATATGAACTAACTTTACTTATTTATTCAGACTATGAAGGTTCGCGCAAAATTAATATTTTAAAATTGATGATGACTTGAGCTGTGCAGTTTAAAGCAATTGGAACAGTATATCCGAAAGTAAACAAAATGGATGATAATGGTACGTCATTCCCATGAATTTTTGAGATCAACCAATAATGATTCACTTTCAAATCAATACAATTATCTATACAAAGATGGAACAAACTGTCAAGCAATAGAATCTATTTTCAAATCTAGATACCTGGATTCACACCGTTTAAATACGAAAGTTCAAACAAGAATTTTGTTGTAACAACATACGACTGACATCAATTTCGTACAAATAACCCCTTATGTATTGGTTGAATCTTATACAATCTCGTATGACAAGACGATTCGAAGTCTCGGAAGTTACTGCATAGTAGTACTCGTTTGGAAACAAAACAGGCGAATGAATTTTTTTTCGAATAACATTCAATAGAAACAAGATAGAAAGCTGCAGTTTTCACCTTTAGAAAGATAAGATAGAAACACATCGAATCGCATTTTATAGTTTCTTAACTGTATCTTTTTGAAGGCTTTCAATCGATCTTTTTCGAAAAGTCATGTACACTGTATAGGGGGGAACTGCAGGTACACGATTTTGTGGATCTGAATTCCATAGAAGCTAAATGCGACTGTCAATTTCCTGGTCATTTTCGATCCCAAAATAAAATATATGTAGCTTTGTAGAGAATGTCTTTCTCTACAAACCCATATATATCCCGTTCTGGGATCAATATCTTATAGTCATTTTGCTGAACTCGGATTCGAAAATTAATTAAACTTTAGACTCGCTCGGACTCGAATCTGAAAGAATTTGCAGCTCTCTAACCCTGTGAGGTGATCACAATGAATTTTCCATTCTCGGATATGCATTCGAACTGGTAATTGAAATTCTACA